AAATATAATACAGAAGTAAAACCTCAATCTGCATTTTAATTTCTCCACCATTCAAATCTACAAATGCAAAATTCGATTCAAAATGGTAATTAAGTAACAAAACTATTAGTTGAGTATAAGAAAACAAATTATTGAAAACGTGCGACATTTTTGGATCAGCTTTGCAACAATCTTTAGTTTATAGTGTCTTTATTTTATTATTAATTGGCAACAAATAATATGCATATGCAAACCAATGAGTAATTTTTACTGATCATTTAATTTACAATTGAATTGATAGGTGTTTCGTTTACATTTCCTTTTATCGTCTGTCACGTTTTTATTTATTTATTTTTTACATCTCTAATAATGAATATGAATTACGTCACACGTATTCTCTCATAATGTACTGTACAATCTATAAAGCATTTACTATGCCCAGCTGCGTTTTTAGTCATGAATTGTGACGGTATTATTCATTCACGTTAGCAATTTTCTTAACGACCCTGGTTGCCTCGAATAATATCTTTGTCTTTATTCCTGTGTTTTTCCATTGCAATAGATGTGTTGTATTCGTTGGAATGTCTTGAAAGCTTCTTTATTAGAAAGATACATCCTGCGTCCAGTGTAAAGAAAAACTCTTGCTTAACGTCATTTTACTTTCATGACGATAAATATTCATGTCTTTTAATACCTTGTTTTTGAATAGATACATGTGCTGATGTTTCATTTGGGAATGGGAACTCAAATTGCTGCTTAAGCAGTTTCTTTCTTTGTAACGAAAGTTTGTGGCCAACAACAATAAAAATATTAATTATATTAATAAACTATGACGCAACATTCTACTTATTTGTCCAACTTTCAATGGCTTATAAAGCTATGAATTGTCTAACCAACGCACGTCCGACAATTAGGAAATAAATGAATTATCGGCTATCCGGGAGACGCCGCGTCGTTGGATAGCCGAGAATTCATGGATTCGAGCCGCGGAAGCTTACCTATATAAATTAAGAAATAAATCTGCAGTAATATAGACGTGCCAGTATTGTTCCATTTCGCGTAGTATCCAGCTTCGATGTGTATTCCACCTATGTCCCAGTTAATCCAATGAGCTGGAAGATTCATGTCGCGCGCGTTCGATTGAAGTCTTAGGTATATAAACAGTAGACATTCGCCAACCCTGAAGAATCAGTAGAGGCGATGTATGGAGTGTCTTCAGCACCGACAATAGAACGTTCAGCCCCTGGCAAGTGTAGTTGACGAGTGTTTGTCATCTTGTTGACGATGCCACGCAATCGCACGCAGTGTATGAATTCTTATATATCCAACAGTTCTCAGCTCAAAAGAGTGGAAAATAAATTGCCGAGCCATTATGAATACAGAGCTTGTATTAAAAGTGTGCATTGAGTTTGTTTATTGTACAAAATTAATTTATCAAATACAACATTTTATGCCACACGTGAAATGTTACTAAAAGTATGTGTTCTACTAAATATTTTTCCTGAAATTATCTCACTTTAATACAAAACTTATTACGAATTAAAACAATAATTTATTGGAATGGTGGTAATCAAATGATCATTTCTAAGGTGTCTTCGATTATTTATTCGTGACTCTTGTCGTACCCGATCGTTTTTGCAAAGCGTCCTTCCTCCTGTTCACGGAAAGCAGTTCGAGTGCCCACAAAAAGTGAGACGGGTGAAAAAATAACATGCGCATGCTCACTGGTTTAGCCCTCACAAAGGGTCATATTTTTTGTCGCTTCCACACGCCAGCTGCCTTGTTCGAGCGATAATAACACCGATAGCATAAAACCTCGACGCGTCTCGTGCAGCTCGTACGAATATCGTTTAAAACCGCAATCGCTCCCATAAAGGCGTCGTAGGTGTCACTGTGGCTCCACCTCTATCTTTAACTCTCCATTAAAATAATTCTGCCTTATGTAAGGCGGCGCTCATATTTTGAGCGCTGCGCCGATATTACCCCTCGCTTATCCTCGTTGCCCCCACGTGCCAGCGCGGGACGTGTTTGCGCGGGCGCGAGGGGGCGGGCGGGGGGGCGGGGCGGGCGGGGCGGGCGGGGCGGGCGGGGCTGGGCGGGCGGCAGGCCTGGCCGCTCGCGTCTTTGAGCAACGTCTCCACGCGTGTGTGCGATTAAGTCGCATAGTGACCGGCCGCCTGGCCGCCTCCTTCCGCCCTCCCGGCCCCGCCCCCGCCGCCTGTCACTCAACGCGCGCCGGCAGAAATAGTCGGGGTGCGAGGCCGGGCCCGCGGGAATATTTCGGGCGTGTTGATATAAACTAATGAGCTGCGAGGCCGCGTCACGTGACCGCGGGGAGAACAAAGAAGGCGATAGGTCCATTAAGTGCGGGATGATGGACTATCTCCAAGAAATGTAGCCGTGTTTATGTTAGTGGGTGAAGTTGCTATTTTGAAATCATAGCGCGCGCGGCGGCGGTGGCGGCGGGGACGCCGTGATGGCGGTGGAGGCGGCGAAGGCGACGGTGGCGGTAGCGCCGCGCGGAAGATTTATGTGGGGAGCCGTGGCTGGCGACCCGCGCGGCAGGTACTTGGAATGCGAACTGGCTGTCGCGTCGCGTCGCGTCGCGTCGCGCGTCGGCGGGGGACGGCGTCTGTGCCCCCGGCGCTGGCGCGCTCGCCCCCCCCCCCTCGCCTCCCGGCCGGGGTTTTCCAACTTTTCTCGTATTGACCGCTGGAGCTAGCTATTTTGACGCACAAATGGACATTTATTCCACACCAAACTAGTGTTTTTCGTGTCCTTAATGTTTCATCTCCAATGACGTTAATGCAGAAAACGTAAGAATATGTCCGTACTTTTTCTTAGCTGAGGAGAGGAGGGATGCTCGTGGAATAAAAACAATCAATATTACAGTAGGAACTCTGTCTGAAGATTTTTTTTCCACTCTTCCCGTAATCTAAGGTTTTTCCTCGCGCTTTATAACGAATAGATTCATGAGACACTACACGTGAGAGTTGAATGCTAAGTAAAATTTATACTCAGAACGGGCTTTCTTGTTTTATATTATTCATGACACAAACAAATGGTTATGTTAATTGGAAACAATTTTGTTCTCCGATCAAAATAGTTATATTTTCTGTTGGCAATGTCAAAATGGTTTTAATAGATTCACAATGAAATTGCAACATGAATATGAAAAATCTTGCATTATATTTTCATACTAAAAAGATATTTTGTGGATTGAAGTTTTCTGCCAATGGTAAAAGTTCAAAAACAAGCAATTTCAAACTGATTAAAGTATTGTGAGGTAAAGAAGAATCTCGTTCTTGAAGTTATATCTTCTTACCGAAACTTTGAGGGAACATTTTATATATCATTAAAATGTTGTCTTTAACGTGGGGTGTAAGCGGACAGTAGCTCCTGAAACGCCGTTGCGGTGTTGGTTATACCAGGCCGTTTACTTTATTCGCCACGTTCTATCGCGAGTACTGTTAGGTGATAAGAAGTACACAGTTAAGCGTTGCTACACACTTTGCAAGCGACAGGGGTTTTTAGCGTTGTCGATGGTTTGTTAATTCAGTTTTCCTAAAGTATTGCAATTCTTAACCTACCACTGAGCTGTACGAGCTCATTTTAAATTTTTGAGGGGGGGGGGCAAACGGTTAAACACAAGTTGTTACGACATTAAAATAGTAAATATTTATAATTTGTAATTTTAAAAAATCCTAAAATTGCTAAAAATAATCACAGCAATGAAAATTAGTTTATTATATTCTTTATTAAAATTTCAGTAAAAATGTTTAATGTTGAGTAATTTCCTACATTTTCCATAAATTCTTTTAACGGCTGACTTTTGTACATCGCAAGTTTTTATAAATATACGAGGACAATTTGTTGTTTTCATTTGTCACGTATGAATTATCCCTCTAGCCTGGCATGCCAGCCAATCTTTATGTTGTAATTGTGTTGATCGTTTAGACGATTGGAAGAACTGTTTTCGTTCTAAATACATATCAAAGCAGTTTACCTTTCTCCATCACGCACGTATATTTGTCATCGAATGTTACTGTGTGGAATTTTAGTCACTGCAATTGTTTGAGAAATATCCTGGATTCGTGCCCACAGAAAAGAATATTTGATACGATGTCGATCTTTCAAATACCACTATTCAGAAAACGCGACTATAAATTTTTGAGACAACAGGAATGTCCAGTTCCAATATTGTAGAGACATTTGTGCATCAAAATCATAAATGCTCTCTGGGCGGAGAGTACAAGAGCGTGCACCTTGGAACATGTGTATTCTTTAAATGTATACGTCACAACGAACTGTCACTTCTGTGGCGAAAGGAGTCACAGTAGTAATAAAAGAGATCAAAGGTGACCTTTGTGAATCATAAGAACTCGTGATGGAAGTCGTTGTATTGCATAGTATTCAGGATTTGGCGGCAGTTCTTGTTGACTACAATCTGTATGAGGCCCATCGCCAAAACTTTGTTTTGCAGGGACCTCGTCAGTGAAATCAACCATATTTTGAAGAATACCGCGTCAGTAAATTCAATGTTAGTGATAACTAATCTTTAATAACTATTGAGAATACCATAATCACTCACCTATCACAGATAACAAATTGATAATGGAGTTTCGAGTATCTAACTTTTAAAATTTAAGTATGTCAGAATCCTTATTTGAAAGAATACATATTCGTTTAAAGATATAAAGCTTCCATTTATTGATTATTGTTTAGGAGAAGACTACTAATAATTTCGCAATTATAGAATGTAGTATTTGTTTAAAAGCTATTTACATTGCCACCATTTTATATGAAGCCATCAGGCGTCTGCTAGATAATACCGTCAGTAGCTCCTTCATCTAGCGTATCCAAAAACAATCAGTTTCATTGAGTACTTCCCTTGAGTATACAGTTTCTTAACGTGCCATAGCTTACCACCTTTTGGTCCAGCACAGCGTTTATTTTCGAAACTGAAATGTCAAACCCGTGCACACGACGCTATTTTTAACCGCGCGGTCTACTTGTTGCAGGTACACCCATCAACAGACTGCCCATCATGGCGAAGTCGGTGCTCGACCTTTACGAACTGTACAACCTGGTGATCGCTCGCGGGGGCCTGGTGGACGTGATCAACAAGAAGCTGTGGCAGGAGATCATCAAGGGTCTCCACCTGCCGTCCTCCATCACGTCCGCCGCCTTCACGCTGCGAACGCAGTGAGTATAGTGTTGGCGGCCCGCTGCGCGTCAACGGCTGCCCTGCGCCGCGCAGCGCCGCCTGGTCTGCGCACCGCGCTGCGCTAACGAGCCGGGTGGGCTGCGCGGGCGGGGTGCCAAGGGGACCGGGTCCGCGCACGCGTGAGTCACGCGGGAGTTTTAGCATACCGCCCGTGCAGATCGGTCAGCCGTCTGCTGACTTGGGGATCTTCCTGAGATTGATCGACAGATCCATGGTGGATGCGGAATTGGGGTGAGTGACACTGAATTGTGCAGTCACGAACCACTGTACAAGATCGACTGCGGGGGCTGTAGGTAAAAGTAGTAAGTTGTAGCTGAGGTTCAAACATAGATCGTCAAATAATTTTAATGAAATTCTGGGTAATCTTTCGAAGATGAGTTCTTAGTGTTCTGATCATGGAAAGCTCTCTCGCATATCTAGTTCGATCCTAATCTGGGTCGCCCCGTTGCTTGTCCCCGGTCTATTCCTCTTATTCGGAACGAGTCCTCAGCGCATTTCGTGTCGGCTCCTAGTTTTCAGGTGATGGATTCTCCGAGGTGAGGTGGCACCGTGCCATCGGCACGATAAAACATGGGTTTGTGGACAGACAGCCTCATTTCAGAAAATATATATCGTTTGGGTTGCGATAAATAAACACTGCATTCTATGCTGCAAAAATTACAAATGAGAAAAAAATAAACGATGTGTTTTTCTAAGCAAAAATTGGAATATAAGAGCGCATCGTACAGTCCCTCATTAATTATGTTAGAGACATATTTTGCTTAGCGAAAGATTTTCTCTGAAATGAAAGATTTCTCTGAAGATTATTAAAAGTAATGTAGCTTACTGAAGTAATCATTACATTAATTAAAATGCTAATTTATTATGAATAACTTATCGCATTTTGTAAACAAAAATAAACATTAGCTTTCTGACATTGATGCGAAGGAGGCATTAAAATACTACCAGAGCGTGATTTTTTGAGGAATAACAAATCTAGAATTTCGAGAGAAAACCTTTTCGTTAAAAAATATCCTCTTGAACAACCATTTGGTGTACAACAAATTGCAGAATTAATCCAGAAAGGTAAATTTGTATGGTAACATTTTATTTGAATTTTGTCTGTTAAGGCATAGCAGTGTAAGTCGTAGACTTGCTCCGTTCGACATTCGTTCGTAACTATTTACTCCGTACTTCCCATAAGTGGATAAACCCAGAGGCCGCTCGGGTGGAGCAGTTGGAATCGGGCGGCAGGCGTCAGTCCTCTCGCCTGCGATCGCGCTGGTGGCGGCCCCCGCGCCCCTGCGTCTATTCCGAGCGCGTCGCCGCCCGACGGATCTGCCATCCATCACGGCGTGTCACGGCCCTTATTTCGGGCTGATTAATTCTCCGCGGGCAGGTGGCGCGGCGCGGGGCGGGATGGCGCTGGGGCGGAGGCTGGGCCGGCGCCAACGGCAACACGCGGGCGGTCGTTGGCCGGTGCGCGCCAACTGGGCCGCCCCCGGGGGCGGCGACGCCGCGGAGGCGCGCCCGCACGCGGCCGGAGGCGGGCGCGGAAGAGCGCGCGGGGTCGCGTGAGGTCTCGGGGGGTCGCGTGGGGCTGTGTGAGCTCGCGTGGGGCTGTGTGAGGTCGCGTGGGGCTGTGTGAGGTCGCGTGGGGCTGTGAGGTCGCGTGGGTTCGCAGAGAGAGACCCGATTGCTACGGGGTGGCGTGAGGCCCTCCGGCCTTCGATTCGCTCGGCTGCTCGACTGTGGCGACTGACGGCTTTAGTCGCAGTTTCTTAGTTCCCCTCCGCAGTGCCCCTGAGGAGGCGGGAATTTATTTTCCTACTTATGTGTACAGTGCGCTGCGCTGCTGCCTTAGAACTTAAGTAGGTAAGGGGGTATTCTTAATAAATAACAAAACCGAACATCATTTTAGCTTAATTTAATTGTGTAGTTCATAAGTAAGCGTGTTGCCATACAAAAAGTGAAGAAAAAAATTGTACTACATGTTGTACTTGCTTCTTTCGTGGTAATTTTTTATATACTTTTTCATTCACGCATCGTTCATACTAGTTTCCTTTAGTCATTGTTGGCTTAGGCATCTTATTGGAAGAAGATTAACTGAGCAGTACTTTGCATTGATAAGGGATAAACACTTCATATGTGTTTGGCTTCGGTTTCATATTTTGTGTAGTACCATATTCCGTTGCTTATATTATGCAAAAGTGAAAATTCCCTGCTGCTTGTATTAATATTTTAAGCTCTCACAAGATCAATTAACATTAGTCCTACGTTTATCCCCGCTACAAAGATGTAATTGAATGGCGTCTCTTTTAGGAGAAATAATCGTAATTTGTATCGTACTGTGAAGGGTAATGTAATTTTTGGAAATGTAAACAAAGTTAAAAGTGAATTCTATATATCCGTATTCAGTCTATGAATTTGATGAAAATAACACGTTGATGCATAAATGTTAGTATTAAATGTATTTTGATGTGAGTAATATTCTCAGAACATTCATAAGATTTGTAAATTAGTAAACTTTATAGCAGTCATTCCCATCCTAAGTTAAAATGAAGTTTTGATGAGAATCCGTTTTGTTTCCGCTGATGGTCCTCCATCTCAACACGAAGATTCATTACTGGACGGCCCAGAGTGGGCGTGTGCCGCGAATGAGCCTCCGCGCCAGTCCAATGACTCACGGGGGCGGCCAGCGGGCGGGCGAGCGGGCGAGCGAGCGAACTGATAACTCGCGGCGCAAACAGAGTGAGGGATCCGCGAGCGCGGCCGCCAAACAGCGAAGTGCATTGTCAGCGGTGAGAACGAGGTCGGGGCGGCGTAGCCGCCGTTGTCCGAATTCTTATTGACGGCGACAAGTCCTACGGCTCTGGTCACCCGCCTCCCCACCCGCCCACTTCCCCTCACTCCCCGCATTCCGCATCTCCCCCGCTCTCTCTGGCCTCACCTTGCCCCCGCCTCATCTCCCTTCCCCCACCACCGTGCGCCGCCATCGTCCTGCCCTCTTCGGCCCTGCCCGCGCTGTCGCCCCGGCGATCCGCTTCGCGCTCCGCGCCGCCTAACTGCATCCCTCCCATCCTTTCGAGCCGGTTTCCTGCCACCCGCTCACTTCCGGTCTGTGCGCAAAGGCCTTGCTTAATCATCGGCACTCTCCTAGTGAAACAAATTGCAGATCGGCACCTGGAATCACCTGCTAGCACAATTTTATTAAATAAGGTAATATGTAGAAAAGTATTACAGTATGCTATCCATACTACCCCGCCCGACCCTGATATGCCAGTAAATATTTTCGTCGCTGGGGGCTATATTATTCAGTAAGTTCTAAAGAGTTTCAACAATAATTACTACAATACACAATATATCAGAGTTAGTAGTGGGAGACTTTATGTGTGCTAACCTCGCTTAAACGTAATTCTCCCTTCTCTCTTCTTTTCTCTCTCTTCTCTCTCTCTCATCTCGTCATTCCTATATTCGCATTCCCAACCACGCCACGCCACAATACGAAAATAGTCACGAATGTGGCGAATTGAAAATGTTCCTTTCATTGAGGTTGTGGCTGATAAAAAGTTAAGATAATAATAAGAAATAATGTCAATTTTTAAAACGAAAAAAATCTCGATGAAGCGTATTCGTGTTCACGTAGCCCTATTTGCATACAACTGCCAACGTGGTTTTGAAAATTCCGTTTTTTTTTCTCCCGCACAATCCGTCTGTTTCTTCTTAGCTTCAATGACGATTTCCGCTACAATTAATTTGTCACATTGCAGCCTCGCGCCCCATTTTTCTTTCTTCTCTTCTTCCTCATGATCTTCTCTGTCTCTTCTTTTCTTCTCATCTTTCTCTTCTCTTTTACTGGCTTCTTTTCTCTTCTCTGCTACTTCTTTCTTCCTCTTCTCTTCTTCTCTTCTCTTCTTCTTTACCTCTATCTCTTCATTCTTCCCTCTTTATTTCTTTACTTCTTCCTCTTTACTTTCTTTTCACTATTCTTTCTTAACTCTTTCTTTCTTCTTCTTCCTCTTCTTTTCTTCTTTATGCTTCACTTTTTTCTCCCTCTACTTCACCCTTTTTCTTTATATATGCTTTACTATCCCCATTCTTTCTTTCTTATCCTTGCTTCTTTCTTCTTGACTTTTTGTTTACTAGGCTTCTTCCTTCTGTTCTTCTTTTCTTCCTTCTTCTTCTTTCTTCTTTCTCTTTTGTTCCTTTTTTTTTCTTCTTTCTACCTCCTTTCTTTCCTCTTTTATACTTTTCTCATTATATCTTCTATCCTTTCCTCTTTTTTCCTCTCTCTTTCGATCTCTCTTGTCTTCCGTCTTCTTTATTATCTCCTTCTTCCTCTTCTTTCTGCCTTA